AATTTTTCATTGCTGGTGTTAATACAAAATGGTATAGCTACTTTGGAAGGCAGTTTGGCAGTTTCTTAAATATCTAAACATAGTCTTACCATAAAATCTAGCAATCATACTCCTTATTACTGCTTACCCCCCACCCCCAAAAGTTGAATACTTTCTGTCTACAGAAAAACCTGCATTTGAATTTATAGCAACTTTACTCATAATTGCCGAAATTTGAAAGCAGCCAAGATATTCTTCAGCAGATGAATGGGTAAACTGTGGTATATGCAAACAATGGAATATTATTCAGCACTAAAAAAAAATATGAGCTATCAAGCTATGAAAAGACATGGAGAAACCTTAAATTCATAAAACTAAATGAAAGAAGCCAATCTGAAAAGACTACACACTGTATAATTCTGACTTATATAAACTAGAGGCCTGGTGCGTGACATTCGTGCACTGGAGGTGGGGGGCCCTCAGCCCGGCCTGCACCCTCTCGCAGTCCAGGACCCCACGGAGACGTCTGCCCACCGGCAGGGAGTGAGCCTAAGCCTAAGCTGGCAGTGGGACATCCCCCAAGGGGTCCTTAGCGCTGCCTCAGAGGCAGGAGAGACTCCCTCACAAGCCGGGCTCCTGGCTGAGCACTGAACTAGTGGGCATCGGCCTGCACCCTCTCGCAGTCCAGGACCCCACAGGGACGTCTGCCCACCGGCAGGGAGTGAGCCTAAGCCTAAGCTGGCAGTGGGACATCCCCCAAGGGGTCCTTAGCGCTGCCTCAGAGGCAGGAGAGACTCCCTCACAAGCCGGGCTCCTGGCTGCGCACTGATCACTAGTGGGCAGCTCCTGCACTGAGCGTCTGCCCTGTGGTGGTCAGTGTGCGTCAGAGCAACCAGCCTTCTGCCATTCGGTGGACTTGCCTATCAGCCTTTTATTATGTAAGACAGCCATCCATTAAACGCTACAGATTCTCCCTTCCTTCCCACAAGCTACCGGTGGGCTGGCTCCCTCAGCAGATGAGGCGCCCGCAGGGCCTGGCAGCACATGGCGGTTCCTCTGAGTTTACAGAGACCCTGACTGGGAGGGAGCGACTCTTAGGAAGGAACCTTAGTAAACACACCAACTGCAGGTGCTCAGGCTACAGACGCTTCTAATTAGCAGCAGAGGATGTTTATAAAAAAAATATACTTTTAAGAAAGTAGCTGAGAAAGTCTAGAGATAAAAAAAAGTTTACAAAATATATCTTAAGCCAAAATGTTGCCCAAAACATATAAAACTCAATTTTTAAAAATTCACCTAGGAAAGGCAGACGCTGGTGGCCACACCCTCGGGGCTGTCGGGCCGGTGAGGCCCAGCGCCGGCAGGAGGGGGCAGCCGGGG